CTCCCTACAGACGGCGGCGGCAATCAAGCGGAGCCAGAGGGGTTCACGGACCACGCGGCGTGGGGGCAGCCTTCGCCGATGGACGTGCGGGAGGGGGGCACGTAGCCGCCGCACTCTGCGCTTCGCTCTTTGCGGCGCTGGGGCTCGGGGTCGCGCGCTGTCGCTGCCGACGACTGCCACTCCCTGATTATTTGTCTTTTGTTTCCATTCGCGTTTTGCCTCGGTCGCAATTGTTGTCTCAAGGTTGCAGATTCCTGCCTCTTACCGCAGTCCTAGCATAACCGTTTCTTCCTCACCCCTTGTGACAGCGCTGCGCTGCCGGCGTGCAGCGCGCACCGCCCGCCTCCTCACCTCCATGCCCAACCTGACTGCACAGCGGAGTGGGACGCGGCCACCTTGCCCTTTGTAACCATCCGATCTGCTCGGCCGTGTTGAGGATTGGCCCTTCAGCTGCACAGGTTTGTTGGGTTCAAAAGCGGCCCTCTGGGGAGCTCGCGCGTGCAGAGGGCCCAGACAACTGCAAACTTGGGCAGCCAACCCGCATCATACACGTGAACTAGCGATAAATCGAGCGCGTTGCATTACGTGAGGTTGGGCTGCCCGAACACATATCAATTGATTCGCGATCAGAGAAACCTGCCAGCCTACGCGTACTTTGCAAGGCCGCGCCATCGCAGAAGCGCAGCGCCAGAAATGTGTTCGTTATTAAGCTTCTTTATCACCGTGGCCGTGCTTGTGCTGGCGGCACCGAGGGTCTTGGGGGCAGCCTCGCCGCGCTTGCCAGCGCTGCTGCATGTGTCCCCGTTCTTTGACGCAGCAGCCCCTGTCGCCGCCACCATAAAACTGCCCAACGGATCAAAGCCCAAGGCCTTCTCATTCGGCCGCGGCAGTGACCTTTTCGTATCCACGCTCAGTGGCGAGGTGCTCCATTTCGACATGGGCGCCGCTGACGCAGCAGCGACGCGCACCCTTCTAGCAACAGAGCCAGGAATCGCACTGACCGGCATTCAGTACGACCCGCAGCAGCACGCCCTTTTCGTTGCCGGCAGCGTGTCCGGAAAGATCTTTGTTTACACCCTCACCGCCAGCCGCCCGTACGAAGTCGCGCGCCGCGCGGCCGTCGCGCTCGCCCGGCCGCGCGGGCGGTGGCAGGCGCCCTATGTCAACGATGTGGCGATCGGCCCCAGCCACGTGTACGCCACCGACTCGTTCGAGCCTTTTGTCCACATGATCCCTCGTTTCTCAGCCAGCAACTGGGTGGCGGCTGCTGACGTCGGCGGCACGGGCGGCGGCGCCACATACGTGCACCTGGGCCCCGGCTTTGTAACGACCAGCGCCCGCCTGAACGCCAACGGGCTCGTTTTCGCGCGCAACAACACCCTCCTGGTCAGCAACTTTGACCAGAGCTACGTCGCGGCCGTCCAGCTGCCGCCCGGCGGCGCGCCGCGCGCGCAGGGGGAGGCGGCGGCGGCGGTGGTCGCGGCGCGGCTGCCGTGGGTTAAGGCGGGCGGCAAGGGACCGTGGCGCAAGGTCTGGGCGGACTCCATGGTCATGGGGCCGGGGGCTGACACGGTTTACCTGTCAGACAACTTTGAGGACAGGTGCGTGGTTTGAGATCGCGTCTGAGGAGGGAGGTCGCCATGTGCCTTGGAAAGCGGGTGCTGCTAAGTTTGGGGCTTAGACAGCAGCACCGCAGCGTGAGTGGTGTCTGTTCTGCGGCGGACCTCGCCCGGACGTTGGTGAGCCGCTTCACCAACCCCCTCCCGGCGCGCGCCTGCCCCCTGTGGTGCCTGACAGGGTGCTGCAGCTGCGGCTCACGCCCGACCTGTCGAGCGCGAACGTCACGTGTGTCATCTCGCCGCGCGGCGGCGGCGGTGGCGGCGGCACCACTGCTCTCCGTGCGCCGACGGCGATGGCGTTCAAGGACGGGGTCCTGTGGGTGCTCAATGCGCGGCTGCTGGACTGCCCCTTTGTGCTGCCCTGCACCAATCAGGGTTACGAAATTGTGGGGGTGCGGCCGACCCAAGTATGCCGGTAACGTTGCAGCCAAACGCCTCTGTTGTTCCTGATGGATGCGCACGGCATGTGCTGATAACCTCTGGCGTTGCAGGTGCTCTACGCGCAGGCCAGTCATGGTTTATTGATATAATTGGGATTGTAATGTAGCTTGTGAATGTAACGTGCGAATCCGTCTGGAAAAACACATAGCTGACCTTTTTGCCTTTCTGGCTTCAAGGCTTGCAAACCCAGCTCTGTGTTGCTCCGTTGAGCTCGCATTAGACGGAATTATGCAGTATTGCATTATCCAGGCTTTCAAAATTTGTTGGTGCGCGGCATATTAGTCATGAGCACAGAGCGATTCGAATATCAACATGCTCATTTGCCAAACTTGATGACCACGTGTACGTGCATGCGCACGCGCTCTAGCGCGCACGCACGCACGCACGCACGTACACACACACACACACACACACACACACACACACACACACACATACACACACACACACGCACACACAGGCAACTGCCGACTGAAAGAAGTATATATCAAGCTGGATCATCGTGCCTGAAACCTTTCGTTGTTGTTCAAATTGCCGACTGCAATATGAACTATACATATATATATATATACTATGTATATATAT